CAACCATTCAGGTAAGATTATTTGGAATATTCTTCTAAAAACCAGTATTTAGCCACGAACGCAAGGAATTGTAAAATGTAACACTATAAAACTGTCAATGTGATGAAACAATATAAAATATTACGCCATCAAATAAAACGCCATTCATTGATATTAATTATAATAATAATAATAGCTGGCCACTCGTATTCGAGGCTAATCGTATACTAGGGCGGTTAGGCAATCCCTATTGCAGACTGTCGCTCATGCACATTTGTGTTTGTTCAACACCCACAGAGCCAACCTCTGGATTATAGTGCAACTATACTGATCAGGCCTTAGTTTCTGGGAGAGAGCACATAATCTGGTATGATCAATAGCTTGAACGAGCCCAGTACATAACTTTTAATTTTTATTAACATTTAGCACTCTGTATCATTTATAAATATTACTTCTCCCTTTTACTGTATATGGAACCCCCACAAAGTATAGTGTTTATTAGTTCTATATAATTGAAATTGCAGTCGCCTGGCTATCAATTTCAATCAAGATTGTTTTAGGTGTTGCCATAGAAGGTTATAACTACACAACCAAGAAATTGAAATTCAATTTACATTCACAGGACTAAGATTTTGCTTGGCGTAAATCTTAACATCTTAACATCTTACCAATGTAGGTATTTCCTAAAAGCGAAGAGACATGAAGTCATGTACTTAACATGACTTCATGACTCTTCGCTTTTTTTAGGTCTGAAGAGGGGTGGGGTGAAGGGAATTTTTAATATTAATCGAGTAACATTTCTATCAACTGAGCGCTATTTGTTTATGGTCGGATAAGCATTTTTTTTTTCTACTTTCTAATCCCGACCAGGGTAAGACGATAAACTACATCCGCGTCCTGGGTAAGACGATAAACTACATCCGCGTCCAGGGTAAGACGATAAACTACATTGTCTTTAATATATACTGGCTACTCGTATTCGAAGATACCCATCTATTAGTGCGGCTAGCCAATCCCTATTGCAGACGGTCGCTCAGGCACTCAGGTACATTTGTGCTTGTTCAACACCCACAGAGCCAACATGTGGTTTATACTGCAACTATGCTGAGCAGACCTTAGTTACAGTTTCCGGGAGAGAAAAAAATCTGAAAAACGCCAGCACAATCAAAGCCTCGGTCACGATGACTTGTGACTTCGGGCTAGCACAGCTATCGACGGTTCCCAATTTCACTCAAAAGGTTTGGGTCAACTCGTGGTATGGTCTTCAGGAACTTTCCAAAGGTACCGTACGCTGGGCTCGCCCCATACCCTCTCCAGACCGATAGCGTCAGAAAGTCACCTTCCGAACAAATCAAGCGTGTTGAGATTCGAACCCAGCTGTGCATGTGTGTCTATGTATGCGTATGTGTGTGTATTTGTGTGTATATATATATATATATATATATATATGTGTGTGTGTGTGTGTGTGTGTGTGTGTGTGTGTGTGTGTGTGTGTGTGTGTGCACAAATAGTAAGAGAGATTTATCGGAGTACTTTTTCGACTCTTTACTTGTTACGTGACTTGACATTTAAACCACATTTTCTAATTCGGTGTTTTCATTAAAATATCAGTCCTTTTTCTCAGGTTCTATTCAGTATAGCTGACCTACCCCAAATAGCTGTTATGTACAAATATATATAGAAAGAAAGCAAGAAAGCAAAAAAGAAAGAAAGCCTGAAAGAAAGAAAGAAAGCCTGAAAGAAAGAAAGAAAGAAAGAAAAAAGAAAAGAAAGAAAGATAAGCAAGAAAGAAAGAAAAGCAAGAAAAAAAGCAAGAAAACAAAAAAGAAAGAAAGAATGCCAGAAAGCAAGCAAGAAAGAAAAAAAGAAACAAAGAAAAAAGAAAAAGAAAGAAAGATAAGCAAGCAAGAAAGAAAGAAACAAAGAAAGAAAGAAAAAAAGAAAAAAGAAAGAAAGCCTGAAAGCAAGAAAGAAAGAAAGAAAGAAAGAAAAAAGAAAAAGAATGGAAGATAAGAAAGAAAGAAAGAAAAGCAAGAAAAAAAGCAAGAAAGCAAAAAAGAAAGAATGCCAGAAAGCAAGCAAGAAAGAAAGAAAGAAAAGAAAAGCAAGCAAGAAAAAAACAAATAAAGAAAGAAAAAAGAAAAAAGAAAGAAAGCCTTAAAGCAAGCAGAAAATAAAGAAAGAAAGAAAGAAAGAAGGCCAAAAAGCCAGCAAGAAAGCCAGAAAGAAAGCAAGAAAGAAAACAAGATAACAAAGAATCTTTGACTTTGTCTCCATTATTTTCTTCTCGTTCACTAAAAAAATGGATTCGGTTCCTATTTTTCTCCACACATGTTCGGCTATACCTGATTTCGCTTTCTCACATCACGTCTGCGGGTCGCGAGTAAAGAGATATGTCATCCCAGTTCTCTTCGCCCTGCTGGGCCTTAATGTCAATATTACCCCGAGTATATGAAAATAAAACACTTCAATATATACGTGGATTCTCATATATATTTATATAAAGAACAATATAGCCCATAAAAGAACAAAGATAAAGTTATGCTTATGTGTATATACATAGCTCAAAAGAAGAAAGAGAAAAATTTATTGGATTAACGTAGAATGTAGTTGGGTGAATACGAATGTAAGTGCGCTACGTGGTTTGATTGAAATTAAGTAGTTGGCTACCCGTGAAAAGTCTCCCTAGAGGAAGTCTGTTCAATGTCATGTACCTACTGCATTCTAAAGGTTATAGAATAAAAAAGGGAGAAAGAGGATTTAAATCACCTTTCTTTTATAGGCCTAAAGAGATCGTACATAGAGACATTAAACAAAGTTCATTAACAAACAACGTGTGGCAATCCCACATGGGTAACCCTACAATAGTGGGGTGCTACTAATTGCTTCTTTCTGCATGCCCCACGAGAATTTTTAATCATGTCATGCATCATTTAGTTTTCCTGACTTGAATCGTCTGAATTGGTGTCCCAGGGGCATCGTAGTGCAAATCAAACTAGTATACCCACAATAATAAGGATATGATTACACATTACATTTTATGTGCGTCGTTTCCCTGTGCATATCATTTTAAAGTTTTCTTTCTTTCAGGAGTCACATACCGTATGGTAGGAGGAGAGAACTACGGACGAGTGGAAGTCGCCCTTGGTGACACATGGGGTACTGTATGCGATACATCTTGGGACGACAATGAGGCTCGCGTGTTTTGCCGCCAAATGAACTTCACTGACGGGAAAGCTGCCCGTCGTGGCGCGTATGGCTTCGGTACTGGTCCCGTCTGGCTGAGTCATCTCCGCTGTACAGGAAACGAGACGCATTTACATCGCTGTCCGCACAGAGGCTGGGATAGTGAACTCTCTGAAGTCGAAGACGACATAACCGGAATTTTATCGACATTTTGTGCCAGCCACAAACGTGACGCTGGCGTGTTCTGCTTCAGTTCAGGTAGGCGTTTTTTTGTTTTTTTTTTACAATTCCATTTTTTTCCTAGGGAAATCTAAAGTGCAATATCATATCAAACTGGATAAGTTAGCTGAAATGCATTTTGCAAAAATCCTGATGAAGGTGAAAAATTATTAGCTGCCTGTCATCTCTGTGTATTGTCACACTGTGCCTAACAACCTCGTGCAAATTAACTGAAATAAAACTAATAATTCCGTTATTATTTACCTCTTTTCGAATTTCCCATGAAACATGACTCTGTGCACATGTTAATACTTCGTATGTCCATTCTACGAAGTCGTTCCTTGCAGATTGACCACAGATTCTCGATTGGATTTAAATCGGGAGAGTTTCCGGGCCAATCTACAGTACTTTGATTTACTCACTGGTAAGGCTTGCCAGTGTGTTCGTGCAGCATTACAATTTTCATACGCTTTCTTGGAGTAAAGTCCATCGCAGACAATGGCCGTAGGACAACTAATCGACAGTCGAGACAATAGAGTCTGGGCGTGGTAAATATTTTTAAGGCCAAACAAATTTCATTATACATCCTTAAAACAGATTCATATTACTGCACACTACTACAAATGACCTAATCTGAGGAAAAAATAGAAATCAATTACACCCTGTCACTCCAGGGGGTTTAAAACTGACTGTATGATGAAAGAAAGGAAACTAAAGCGCTTGTCTAAATTTGCACTAGGCTGTAAGAGAAAAAGTAATTTTTGTCTAGAAAAAGTCTAAATTTCATTCAGCGTCAAGCAGGGGTCAGCGTCAAGCGTCAAGCCGGGGTCAGCGTCAAGCAGGTGTCTTCTCTATACCCAATTCCCGTAGACTCCGTGAAGAGAACAGGGACACAATATCCCACACTAGGCATTGCTGTTATGGTTTCTGTATCAAGTAATAATTTTTTACGAAATGGAGTTGTTAGCCGGTACCCAAGCGGTTTTGAATCCAGAGCTGTCCTCTTGGCTGTCCTTCTTGACTTGTTACCAACTATGGTTAAAGATCCCAGTTTGCTATATCAGGGGTCGACAACCTTTTGATGACTATGTACCGACTTAGAGTTTTAAAATCATTCAGTGTGCCAACAGCATTTTTATACAAGTCAAGGTCACTATACCTGTTCTACAATATATTTTAATATATAGTATATATACTTTCGTATATATTAAAATTGAAACAGCTAAATATCTTCTTTGCGTTGTAGTAGTTATTGGTTCGGACTTTGTGATGTCATTTGCTGCTGCGTGCCACTGGAAATTGCTTGGCGTACCACGGGAAGCACGCGCGCCATGCGTTGCCGACCCCTGTGCTATATTTTTAAGAGATGTATTCATACTTTGCCAAGCGAAAGTGAATGCCATGAACTCGACTCTCAGATTTCTCGTTTCCAGGCGCTATTCGTTACACCACCGTAATACCCCGAGTCGTATCCAGTGTCTTACCCTGATATTTAGAAACATTTCAATTCTGATGATATCGAAATGTCATTGTCTATAATTGTAAGCTTTTTTTTAAGCCTCTTGATTCCTTGGGGAAGATAGGGCCGCAGCCACACCTCTCTAATGGACGCGGTTCCGGGTGATCCTCTTCAGCTCGGCTTCTGTCATGCCGGCTGCCTTCGTCTCTGCGTCTACACTTCTGCGACAAGTCTGTTTTTGTCGACCCACTTTTCGCTTCCCTTGTGGATTTCAGTCAAGGGCCTGCATGGTAATACTAGAAACAGGCTTACGAAGTATGTCGCCGATCCATCCCTATTTCTTTTTCTTGATGCCGATCTCGATTGGGGCTTGTCTCGTCCTGTCCCACAACTCGTCGTTGGAGACGACTTCCGGCCCCCTGGTATTGAGAATGTTCCTGGGACATCGGTTGGTAAATGTCTAAAGTTTGTGAGTGTAGGGCTTCGTTACCCGCCAGGTTTATGAGCCGTAAAGAAGGACCAACTTGATGTTGGTGTTGAATATCCGGATCTTCTTGTAAAGTGAGCAGGGCTGTTGATCTCCAGATTGACCGCAGAGTGTTGAAAGCGTGTTGGGCTTTGTTGATTCAGCACTTCATATCTTCATCTGTATTTAAAGTGATAGGTTCATGAAACGAAAAACCAGATCTAGAAGAGGTAAAATAATATGCCAACATAACAGGTTAAGACTTACTTGTCTCGTTATTCATCGTAAAAATACTCTAAGAAAATAAGCACAATTACTCAGAATGAAGCTGGCTTACCATCTAAGCGGTATGCAAAGCAACGATTACTGTCCACAAATAATGTAGTTGACTAAAATAAATGCTATCACTTCATAGCTACCGTAACTGGAATTAAAACTCGGCTCCCCGATTAAGAATTCTGAACCCTTATCCATTACAACACATACACATTCACGTTTACAGCACATAGCATTACCAAGTGTTCACCCGTACTGACCATGCTCGACGTTGCTTGACCCTGCCCACAAATTTAACTTGCCTTTCCTCTGCCCACAAATTTAACTTGCCTGTCCCCTGTCCACAAATTTAACTTTCCCATCTCCTGTCTACAAATTTAACTTGCCTGTCCCCTGCCCACAAATTTAACTTGCCTTTCCCCTGCCCACAAATTTAACTTGCCTGTCCCATGCCCACAAATTTAACTTGCCTGTCCCTTGCCCACAAATTTAACTTGCCTTTCCCATGCCCACAAATTTAACTTGCCTTTCCCCTGACCACAAATTTAACTTGCCTGTCCCATGCCCACAAATTTAACTTGCCTTTCCCATGCCCACAAATTTAACTTGCCTGTCCCATGCCCACAAATTTAACTTGCCTGTCCCCTGCTCACAAATTTAACTTGCCCGTCTCCTGTCTACAAATTTAACTTGCCTGTCCCATGCCCACAAATTTAACTTTCCTTTCCCCTGCCCACAAATTTAACTTGCCTTTCCCATGCCCACAAATTTAACTTGCCTGTCCCTTGCCCACAAATTTAACTTGCCTTTCCCATGCCCACAAATTTAACTTTCCTTTCCCCTGCCCACAAATTTAACTTGCCTGTCCCATGCCCACAAATTTAACTTGCCTTTCCCCTGCCCACAAATTTAACTTGCCTGTCCCTTGCCCACAAATTTAACTTGCCTGTCCCTTGCCCACAAATTTAACTTGCCTGTCCCATGCCCACAAATTTAACTTGCCTGTCCCCTGCTCACAAATTTAACTTGCCCGTCTCCTGTCTACAAATTTAACTTGCCTGTCCCCTTCCCACAAATTTAACTTTCCATTCCCGTGCCCACAAATTTAACTTGCCTGTCCCATGCCCACAAATTTAACTTGCCTTTCCCATGCCCACAAATTTAACTTGCCTGTCCCATGCCCACAAATTTAACTTGCCTGTCCCTGTCAAATTTAACTTGCCTTTCCCATGCCCACAAATTTAACTTTCCTTTCCCCTGCCCCAAATTTAACTTTCCTTTCCCCTGCCCACAAATTTAACTTGCCTGTCCCTTGCCCACAAATTTAACTTGCCTGTCCCTTGCCCACAAATTTAACTTGCCTGTCCCATGCCCACAAATTTAACAAGCCTGTCCCTGCTCCACAAATTTAACTTGCCCGTCTCCTGTCTACAAATTTAACTTGCCTGTCCCCTGCCCACAAATTTAACTTTCCTTTCCCCTGCCCCACAAATTTAACTTGCCTGTCCCATGCCCACAAATTTAACTTGCCTTTCCCATGCCCACAAATTTAACTTGCCTGTCCCATGCCCACAAATTTAACTTGCCTGTCCCCTGCTCACAAATTTAACTTGCCTGTCCCATGCCCACAAATTTAACTTGCCTGTCCCCTGCTCACAAATTTAACTTGCCCGTCTCCTGTCTACAAATTTAACTTGCCTGTCCCCTGCCCACAAATTTAACTTTCCTTTCCCCTGCCCACAAATTTAACTTGCCTGTCCCCTGCCCACAAATTTAACTTTCCTTTCCCCTGCCCACAAATTTAACTTGCCTGTCCCATGCCCACAAATTTAACTTGCCTTTCCCATGCCCACAAATTTAACTTGCCTGTCCCATGCCCACAAATTTAACTTGCCTGTCCCCTGCTCACAAATTTAACTTGCCTGTCCCATGCCCACAAATTTAACTTGCCTGTCCCCTGCTCTACAAATTTAACTTGCCCTGTCTCCTGTCTACAAATTTAACTTGCCTGTCCCCTGCCCACAAATTTAACTTTCCTTTCCCCTGCCCAAATTTAACTTGCCTGTCCCATGCCCACAAATTTAACTTGCCTTTCCCATGCCCACAAATTTAACTTGCCTGTCCCATGCCCACAAATTTAACTTGCCTGTCCCCTGCTCCAAATTTAACTTGCCCGTCTCCTGTCTACAAATTTAACTTGCCTGTCCCCTGCCCACAAATTTAACTTTCCTTTCCCCTGCCCACAAATTTAACTTGCCTGTCCCCTGCCCACAAATTTAACTTTCCTTTCCCCTGCCCACAAATTTAACTTGCCTGTCCCTTGCCCACAAATTTAACTTGCCTGTCCCATGTCCACAAATTTAACTTGCCTGTCCCCTGCTCACAAATTTAACTTGCCTGTCCCATGCCCACAAATTTAACTTGCCTGTCCCCTGCTCACAAATTTAACTTGCCCGTCTCCTGTCTACAAATTTAACTTGCCTGTCCCCTGCCCACAAATTTAACTTTCCTTTCCCCTGCCCACAAATTTAACTTGCCTGTCCCATGCCCACAAATTTAACTTGCCTGTCCCTTGCCCACAAATTTAACTTGCCTGTCCCATGCCCACAAATTTAACTTGCCTGTCCCCTGCTCACAAATTTAACTTGCCCGTCTCCTGTCTACAAATTTAACTTGCCTGTCCCCTGCCCACAAATTTAACTTTCCTTTCCCCTGCCCACAAATTTAACTTTCCTTTCCCCTGCCCACAAATTTAACTTTCCTTTCCCCTGCCCACAAATTTAACTTGCCTGTCCCATGCCCACAAATTTAACTTGCCTTTCCCATGCACACAAATTTAACTTGCCTGTCCCATGCCCACAAATTTAACTTGCCTGTCCCCTGCTCACAAATTTAACTTGCCCGTCTCCTGTCTACAAATTTAACTTGCCTGTCCCCTGCCCACAAATTTAACTTTCCTTTCCCCCTGCCCACAAATTTAACTTGCCTGTCCCCTGCCCACAAATTTAACTTTCCTTTCCCCTGCCCACAAATTTAACTTGCCTGTCCCTTGCCCACAAATTTAACTTGCCAGTCCCTTGCCCCAAAAATTTAACTTGCCTGTCCCATGCCCACAAATTTAACTTGCCTGTCCCCCTGCTCACAAATTTAACTTGCCTGTCTCCTGTCTACAAATTTAACTTGCCTGCCCCTGCCCACAAATTTAACTTTCCTTTCCCCTGCCCACAAATTTAACTTGCCTGTCCCATGCCCACAAATTTAACTTGCCTTTCCCATGCCCACAAATTTAACTTGCCTGTCCCATGCCCACAAATTTAACTTGCCTGTCCCCTGCTCACAAATTTAACTTGCCCGTCTCCTGTCTACAAATTTAACTTGCCTGTCCCCTGCCCACAAATTTAACTTTCCTTTCCCCTGCCCACAAATTTAACTTGCCTGTCCCATGCCCACAAATTTAACTTCCCTTTCCCCTGCCCACAAATTTAACTTGCCTGTCCCTTGCCCACAAATTTAACTTGCCTGTCCCTTGCCCACAAATTTAACTTGTCCCTGTCCCATGCCCACAAATTTAACTTGCCTGTCCCTGCTCCAAATTTAACTTGCCCGTCTCCTGTCTACAAATTTAACTTGCCTGTCCCCCTGCCCACAAATTTAACTTTCCTTTCCCTTGCCAAATTTAACTTGCCTGTCCCATGCCCACAAATTTAACTTCCCTTTCCCCTGCCCACAAATTTAACTTGCCTGTCCCTTGCCCACAAATTTAACTTGCCTGTCCCCCCTAAATTTAACTTGCCAAATGCCCACAAATTTAACTTGCCTGTCCCCTGCTCACAAATTTAACTTGCCCGTCTCCTGTCTACAAATTTAACTTGCCTGTCCCCTGCCCACAAATTTAACTTTCCTTTCCCCTGCCCACAAATTTAACTTGCCTGTCCCATGCCCACAAATTTAACTTGCCTTTCCCATGCCCACAAATTTAACTTGCCTGTCCCATGCCCACAAATTTAACTTGCCTGTCCCCTGCTCACAAATTTAACTTGCCCGTCTCCTGTCTACAAATTTAACTTGCCTGTCCCCTGCCCACAAATTTAACTTTCCTTTCCCCTGCCCACAAATTTAACTTGCCTGTTCCCTGCCCACAAATTTAACTTTCCTTTCCCCTGCCCACAAATTTAACTTGCCTGTCCCCTGCCCACAAATTTAACTTTCCTTTCCCCTGCCCACAAATAAAACTTGCCTGTCTCCTGTCCACAAGTTCTTCTATAGCAGTAGGAGACAGAGTAATTCTCTAACCCTTTCTTTAAACTTCTAGCAAGCCTCACTCTGAGATGCGTTGAAGCATGGTATATGTTTCTAAACAGGGAGAATGTGAAGATAGAGAAAGCGATAAAGCTCTCGCGCGTTTAATGAATGCTTTATCGAAATGACGGTCTGGTATATTTTATAACGATATATCATTAAATATACAAGACCGAAATGGTTAATCACAATAATAAAAGCTACAAATCTGTGGAATTTCCACGGGTGTCGCTCTACATAATAAAACAGATGACATAAAAGTCTGTGATGCCACAGATATCTACCCATTCATACATGCTGAGGAATGAAAATCAAGTAACATGTATAACATATCAAATTTCACTCAGAATTAAACACATTCTAACTGAATGTGCTCGCTTAGCCCATATGAAGCGTAAACGCTACAAGGAAAACAACATGAGAAAAGTATTTGAAAATACATAATGCCCTACCAAACACCCACATTAGATCATTTACAAACTCTATATCTATAAAACATAACGTTTTCTCTGAAAGTATAAAATTATTTATAAAATATTTGTTGTTGAAGAAATTGCGTTTAATATGTTTAGGTTTCAGCATAGAGGTGTCGATATGTCGCTAAACAAAAACACCCAAACCAATAAAAATGCATGCAAAAATGAGGCCGTAAAACACTGTTTTTTTTTTTTTCAGTTTTGCTATCAATTTTATCGTTCTGACCTTATGCAAATGCAAATTTAAGTATAAAATGTTGAAGGTTTACATTAGAACTGAAAATATGAATTTGTCCGTGACCTTCAAGGTCACTGTTGAATAAGACTTCATTGTGAAAATATGTATAAAAAATATTGCGAAATTATATTATTATTATTATTATTATTATTATAATCTTTCTGCAGTGCGCCTGAGTATTGGGGTTGATAGAGGCTCCAGCAGTGGGGCTATCGAGGTGGAGCGTAACGGAAAATGGTACTATGTTTGTGACGACGGATTCACTGACGCTGCAGCTCAAGTGGTGTGTCATAGCCAGAAATACCTGTACGGTCGCACAGTGCCCGGTTCAGGATTTGGAAAAGTGAGCTCTATCTCTATTGCTATGACTCACGTCGTGTGTAAAGGGACGGAGAGCACGTTGTTATCCTGCAACTATAAATGGGGTGAACCTGACCAGTGTAAAACCGGACATTACGCTTCGGTCGTCTGCTTTAACAAAACAGAAAGTTCTGGTAAGTTGTTGTTGCTTGCTTTCTTCTTCTTCTTCTTCTTCTTCTTCTTCTTCTTCTTCTTCTTCTTCTTCTTCTTCTTCTTCTTCTTAGCAAATTAGCCGTGTGCCGTAAAATCCTAATCTTAATGTATTCAAATTTTCGTTTTAATATAGGAAGGGCTTACAATAATATGAAAGGGGGGGTAGCTATAATAAAATAGCAGGGAATACCTATAATTATATAGGATGGGTAGCAATAATAATATAGAGGAGGTAGCAATAACATGGGAGGGGGTAGCTATAATAATATAGAAGGGGGATCTATAATATAGGAGGGGATAGCTATAATAATATAAGAAGAGGAGCTATAATATGAGAGGGTTAGCTATAGTAATATGGGAGGGGGTAGCAATAATAGTATAGGAGGGTGTAGCAATAATAATATAGGAGTGGGTAGCAATAATAGTATAAGAGGGAGTAGAAATAGTAATATAGAAGGGTTTGCAATAATATGGATGTGTTAGCTATAATAATATAGGAGGGGAGCTATAGTCATATTGGAGGGGGTATCAATAATAGTATAGGAGGGGGTAGCAATAATAATATGGGAGGGTGTAGAAATAATAATATAGAGGGGACTTGCAATAATATGGGAGGGGTAGCTGTAACAATATAGGAGGGGGGTATAATATTGGTGGGTTAGCTATAGTAATATGGGAGGGGGTAGCAATAATAATATAGGAAGCCGTAGCAATAAATTGGGAAGGGGTAGTAATAATAATATAAGAGGTGGTGTCTATAATATTATAGGAGGTAGCAATAATAATATCGGTGGAGGTAGCTATAATAGTATAGGGGGTAGCAATAATAATATGGGTGGAGGTATCTATAATATTATAGGGGGTAGCAATAATAATATGGGTGGAGGTAGCTATAATAGTATAGGGTGTAGCAATAATAATATGGGTGGAGGTAGCTATAATAGTATAGGAGGGTGAAGCTATAATAATATTGGAAGGGGCTGCAAAAAGTTATCGCACTTTCTTAAATATGACCAAATATCAAAATTTTCGTTGTAACCCCTTCTTCATTTGGGAAAGAACTTTTCAGCACACCTGCTTGGATTTTTTTTTGTTTGTTTTTGTTTGTTTTGTTTTGTTTTTGTTTATTTTTTTGTTGATTTTATTGTTTTCGTTTTCAATGTTTTATGTGAATGATAAAAATTCGGGTGGGAAAAAATCTGAAGACGGAAAGTAAATAAATATATTTTGGCACGAAAGAAAAATAAATAATACAAAATGGTGGAGTGCTTTCAGATATGTCTGAAATATTCGACTAAACTCAGAAAACGCCTTGGAATTTGACAGATATGAAGAAGATTGACGATTCTTTTCGAAAAACATGAATTTGGCGTTGGTACTTTGTATAAAAGAAAACATTTCATATTAAATATTTACACCATTCAAATGCAGGATTATTTTTTTCTTTGCAGAGTTTGCTATTCGTATTTCCTCTGACAGCATTTCTTCTACACACCACGGTATCCTGGAAGTTCGGGTGGACGGCATTTGGGGACGAGTTTGCAATAAACACTGGACGAACACAAATGCTGATGTGGCGTGCAAAGAAATGGGTTACCAAGGAGGCATTGCTTATTTGCACATCATTAAAAACTTCAATCCCATCATGCTTAGCAATGTGCGCTGCAAAGGTGACGAAGCTTCTATTAATGAATGTCCTCATATCAAATATGATCATGGCGAGGGATGCGGATTCCATGATTTTGATGCAGGAGTCCTTTGCTATAACAAAACAGGTGAAACATTTTGGACTTAAATTGAAATAGTTTTGGCTTACTTCTTTCGATAGAAAAAAGGAAGGGAGATAAGCGTGTAAGAAATAAGGACTCGGTAATGAGGGTGAAAGAAAGAAAGAAAGAAAGAAAGAAAGAAAGAAAGAAAAAAGAAAGAAAGAAAGAAAGAAAGAAGTGTGAAAGAAAGAAAGAAAGAAAGAATGAAATGAGTGTGAAAGAAAGAAAGAAATGAGAAAGAAAGAAAGAAAGAAAGAAAGAAAGATAGAAAGAAAGAAATGAGTGTGAAAGAAAGAAAGAAAGAAAGAAAGAAAGAAAGAAAGAAAGAAAGAAAGAAATGATTGTGAAAGAAAGAAAGAAAGAAAGAAAGAAAGAAAGAAAGAAAGAAATGAGAGTGAAAGAAACATGAGGAGAAAAGAAAGGAAAATGTAGAAAAATGAAAGATATGGAAATGAGAAAGAGAAAGAAAAAGGAAAGTGAGAGTGAATGAAAAAGAAATTGGGTTGAATAAAGAAAGAAAGAAAGAAAGAAAGAAAGAAAGAAAGAAAGAAGATACATGAATGAAATATATGGAAATATAAGTGAAAGAAAGAAAGAAAAACTGAAAAATAATATCGTATACATGTTCATCTTATACATCATTACAACGTTTCGACTACTTTCTCATACCTTTTTCAGGTCTTCAATATCGTCTTAACGGTGGCGATGAATCAAGTGGTCGAGTCGAGATTGAGTATGATGGCAAATGGGGAACTGTGTGTAATCAATTTTGGAATGCTTCTGACTCACTGGTTTTCTGTCGTCAGCTTGGCTTTATCGATGGCTATAAGCCCAGCGTTAAGACCACACGCAGCATACTGCCCTCACTCCATCATTGGCTCAACGGTGTGTTTTGCCTGGGCACCGAGGAGAATCTCCTCAACTGCCTTAACTCCGGATTCGGGAGTACCTTCCTCAGTCGGTATTGCAACAAGTTTTCCCGACCCACCGACGTCTATCTCAATTGCTACAACACGACAATAAGTAAATCTTATTTTTTATTAATTTTGATTCTTTTGCAGAAAGGGTTTTTTTTTTCTTTCTTTAAGTATCGTATCTATATAGTGCATGGGCGGTCATGGCTCTCTACAAATCCCTTTTGTCGCTCTAAGCAATGCTTGTCTATATACTATATACTATATACCTTCCAGTCCATATACTGCCATCCATTTACACAAGTTAGTTAGGAAGGTTATTCAGTGTTTCTTTCTGTTCCTCTTGCCTTCAATATATCAGCCTCCGTCCGACAGGATTCGAACCTGTATCCTCTACGGAACTGTCATATAGCTTGACGTGCTTTTACCGAGTGACGGAGGACGCATATTTTCTATGAAAATTTCTCGGACATTCAGGCCGGTAAATGTTGTTAATACTGTTTATTATAAACAGAGCATTTACTTAAATATTTGTATCTATAAAACATCGTATAAGCATAAAAATGTCTCAGAATAATTATCGGACTTTGTCCATTTCATAATATATATATATATATATATATATATATATATATATATATATATATATGTATGGAAATATTTTGTAAACTTATTTTAGCTTGGCACAAGTTCAGATTGAAGGACTTACGGAAGGATGGCTCTTGACTGAGGGTATCATCCTTCATCAACCTCACTGGGACAAATCGATACATGCAACATCTGTGGCCCTGTATGCCTCTCACACATTGGCTTTCGAAGCAAAGACGTTGTATGAGAGTCGAACAAGGGAAATCAATGTTCCTTAATTGCGATGTCGCTATTAACAACAACGAAGGATTATGTCGATGTTATGTCAAAAAACAAATTGTTTTGTGCACTGAGGCAAATGCACTTCATTTTAAAACAAATTCTGGAATTTAAATTTTCGTTTTTTTTTTTAATAGGGTTCACCCAATACGAGGCCCGAGAGTTACTCAAGGTAGAGGGTTACTGAATGCAAGATAAGATGATAGAAAGTGAAAATTCTGAGAATAAAGGAAATAGATAACGTTTTCATTTCTTATTTTTTTAACAAAATTGTTCTTACCTTCTTTTTTTAAATTATTTTATTGAGGCTGGCTAGATAATCTAGTTCGTCTTCTTATTTAACCCATAGATAGAATCAGAAAATATAGATTCGTGCCTTTCTAAAGGGAACCCAACTGATGGAATTTGAAATCTGATCACCTATCCGAATTTCAGGGCCGATAACCGCTACAGTACTCTCATATTAGTGATGTCATGATTAACAAGCTTGTCTCGCTAGATCAATTGACTGAATAGTGAGTTCGATCATCACTGGGTGCCCATACATTCGGCCTTTTGCCATATCTAAGCTACGCTTAGAAAATCATTTGGGCACCTCAAAGTGTCATTGTAAGCAAATTTGTCTCGCTAGATTAATTACAACTGAATAGTGAGTTCGATCCTCACTGAATGCCAACTGCTTTTGGCCTTGTACCGCATTTAGGCTACTCTTAGAAAAATCACCATCGACATTCTGTTGCGATGTGGGTGCGCTGAAAAATATCCCCTTTATATTTATGCTTTGCATTTTACCTGTAGCCTTTACGAGTACCCCCTATGTGTGCGTATGGGTGTGTCCTAGAGAGACAGAGATAGAGAGAGAGAGAAAGATTTAGACTTGAGAGTCCATCAAGTAAAAAAAAAAATAATAAAATCATTTTTTTCCTCTGGCAGATATCACCGACATTCGACTCGTAGGAGGATCAACCCCCGACATTGGACGTGTAGAGGTATACGTCGAAGGACCCAACGAATGGGGCAGTGTCTGCGACGATATGTGGGATGATACGAATGCCCTGGTCGTGTGCCGTGCCCTTGGTTACACCTCCGGCACGGCAGTTGGTAAAGGCAGCTTTGGACGTGGTATTGGACCCATCTGGTTGGACAACGTTGTGTGTGATGGCAGTGAATCCTCCCTGATGCAGTGCAAACATCGAGGAATTGGCACGCATAACTGTGCACATCGGGAAGATGCAGGGGTCATTTGTCACAGTGAGTTAAAAAGTTTACGATTAATTTTCAATTAAAAATACTTAGCAAATCAAATTATATAAATTATTAAAAACTTAAATTTAAAATCCCAAAATAATTACAATCAAAAACAAATAAAAATTTAAACGATTGTAAGTAATCATTATATATATATATATATATATATATATATATATATATATATATATATATATATATTCAATACTTAGTGGAAAGTGCTCAATATCAGTTATATAGCTAACATATTCAGTTCTATGGATATTAGTTTTTTCTAATGCTAATATCCATACAATTTAATATATATATATATATATATATATATGTGTGTGTGTGTGTGTGTGTGTGTATGAATGTGTGTGTGTGTGTGTGTGTGGTGTATCTGTGGGTGTGGTTAAAGGAGGTTGATATCAATAAGTCTGTAGCCTGAAAAACAGTAGGTTAATATTCACCACTGAATCAAGGGAATTTACAAGGGACGATATAATGTTGAAAAATAAATTACCTTAAATGTTTTTTTTTTTCATAATTAGAATGCGGACTTTAATGTACCAATCAAAGTATACAATTTATATTTGAACGTATGGATATATATATATATATATATATATATATATATATATATAGATAGATAGATAGATAGATAGATAGATAGATAGAGAGAGAGAGAGAGAGAGAGAGAGAGATAGATAGATAGATAAGTAATATTAATGATCAATATATATGTGTGTGTGTGTGTGTGTGTGCAGGTATGTAGAAAAATAGGAAAGATCACGTTAGGTTAATAATCCGGAGTTCTTTCGTATTTTTGCTTTTATTTTTAAAAAAACAGTGCTCCATACAGAAGTAGTGCATAAATATTATAATTATTTTTTAAATATGATTCCTTCGCTACATAAGAGTTCTCATGTTTCAAAAACGAGAGCCGAAACCCTCAATATAATTATTAAAAATAAATTGAATTAAAGTAACAAGACCTGTTTCATCCTCAAGCGAAAATTTAAGAATGTGTGTGTGTGTCTGTGGGTGTGGTTAAAGGAGGTTGATATCAATAAGTCTGTAGCATGAAAAACAGTAGGTTAATTTTCACCACTGAATCAAGAGCATTTACAAAGGGACGATATAATGTTGAAAAATAAATTACCTTAAGTTCCTAAATTTTCGCATGACGATGGAACAGGGCTTGTTACTTTAATTCAATTTAATTTTGATAATTATATTGAGGGTTTCAGGTCTCGTTAAAGATCCGTATTAAATACAGTCTTGTTGGTGTGTCTTGTTTAACCAATTAAATGTCACATCTATGCTAAATAGAAAAGTAAGCTTGAGGGTGGAGATGGCTGAGTTATTTTTTCATGTTAAATGATAAACCAGGACAACAGACAGGCCAACATAGACGATTGCGGAAAATATCATAATCCCTTTTAATTAAAAAATAATAATACATTGCTCTACTTTACATTGAGCACTTTTTTAATAGTAAATGCTACAAACAGTGGATTTTTGCTCCATCTGTTCCTTCACTCATATATATATATATATATATATATATATCAAATATGTGGTGCAGTTCAATTTATATTACAAAGAATCATTCATACAAAAAGTATTTTTGTAAGAATGATTCAATGAAATATATATATATATATATATATATATATATATATATATATATATATATATATATATATATATAAAAATATAGTTGTAGTAGTTTTATAGTATGCTATATTTATGGGTAAAAATGGTCAATATCATGGATAGAACGTATGTAAATTTAAAAGTGGACTTCATGCCAACACCCAGTGACGACTGTCTGTTTCATGCTTAAACACAATTGTCAGGGCCTGATATATATATATATATATATATATATATATATATATATATATATATATAGGTGTGCTATATTTATGGGATAAAGTGCTCAATATCAGAGATAGAGCATGTGTAAATATAAAACTGAACATTAAAGTCAACACCTAGAGGCGACAGGCTGTTTCATGCTAGACGCAATCGTCAGGCTACCCTGACCTGACGATTGCGTGTAGCATGAAACAGCCTTCAATGTTCACTTTTATATATATATATATATATATATATATATATATATATATATATATATACTGCTACTATATATATATATAGTAGCAGTAGTAATAACACAAAAATAAGTAGTCTACTCCCGAAGAGATACACGTAAAGCGCCACCTCGGAAAACAGACCTCAGAGCAGTAATGTCAGAGCGTTTAATCATAATCCTCCGGTATAGGTTGACCGACTTTGACTATCAGCTTCCTGCGATTTTGTCATACCTGAACTTACCTATTCTATTATTAATAGACTCTCCCACACATAATAAGTAGAAGTAGTAGTAGCGGTCGCCAGTTGGGCTCAGTGGTGTTGAGTGAGTCAGTCGATGTCGGACATTGAAGTATCAACCATCACAACTAGATTGCTGCGTCATTAACTCTTATTTCAAGTTCCTAACGTTTTGTACGTCGAACCTAATTTAAGACGACTTATTGAAATACAAGCCTCCACTGTGAAAACTACTCTACAACAGATTTGTGCCTGCATTCTTCAGACGGTCTACGTTAGACATTGAGAGATATGGGGTTTAATTTCCGGCTATTTTATTCAGCTAGACTTCTCTGTTAAATAATAGTAGCCGGTGAATACACATAATATACACCAGCTAAAATCCCCGAGGTGGGGATACTCATACAACCATGGCGCTCAGGAAATGCACAGTCGAAGTTGGTTAAACTTTCACCGAAAGATTTCATATATATATATATATATATATATATATATATATATATAGAGAGAGAGAGAGAGAGAGAGAGAGAGAGAAAGAGAGAATGAGTCAGAGACTCTTATACCTAAGATTTTACCACGAGGCACGGCAGAGAAAGGGAAATTTAACACATTATATACGTGCTATAGAAACGCCATACCGTCCGCCATAGCGCTCAATTCTTCCGAAGAACAGCAGCAGGCGTTCAAAATTACATTTTCTACATAGTGCTCAATCGGCGAACTAGTCATTCATAGACAGCCTCTTTCGCTGTATCAGAGCTCATCAGTGTGACTAGACATCCGATATATATATATATATATATATATATATATATATATATATATATATATATCCGATGTGATATATATAGTAATATATATAGTAATATATAAATTACAACGTTTACAGCATTAATGCAAAAAAGGGCTTGAAACCGATAGCAGAGCGATGATTATTTATTTATTATAATTTTATCATATAGACAAAACCACTTCACGCACTACAAAGATGCAACTTCGTTTCAGTGCATTCCAACTGCACTTCGACGGATTGAGAATCGAAAATGGTTATGAACAATCCTGCTAGTAGGCAAGCCGTATATGAAAAGTCACTTCCTTTTTCCATTTGTTCGAGAAGAAAAATATACATAAAATAGGTGACGGAATGAACAATAGTATTTGTTTATGGCAATTTGGTGAAGAATGGATTGGGTGTTTAATGTTGACTGGTCTGTGGAGATTTTTCTTGCCGATAAACAACGGTCAAAAGTTTAGGCACATCATCTCACACCCAATCCATTCTTCACCAAACTGCCTGATCTGAAGATTACGTTGAAGCATGAAGCAGACTGTTACGCTTGGTGTTGGCATCAGTGTCCACTTTTACATTTGCAGACACTGAATATCTGATATTGACCACTTTTTTAATGCCATTATGCCATTGTTGTATTCATTTGTCGACGCGTATTTCTTTCATGTTGATTTAAATTTCGTTTTATTGCAATAACCAGACCGTCATTCTACGATTTCTAATAACCAGCGCAGATTAAAATAAAGAATTTGAAAGAATTTCTGAAAGTTGAAAACCACTCGTTTGTCTAAATAAAGCTGCTAAGGTACCAAACGGCCAAATAAAAAATGAATGACTACATCCGAAAATGTCGGTAGCCTAATCAGTAAGGCAGCTATGTCAAAAAGAAAAGGTATGCGAATTCACGACTCACCACAAGCTTTTTCTATATTTCCGATTATTGTTGCTTGCTTACAGATGTAGAGTGATGGTCCAAGATTTGCAAAATTAAATTAAAAAGATAATATTAGTCTTCAATGTACAAGAAATTCTGTTGTATATGTATCTCAGAATAAGGCAAAAGCCACAGTTTATAGTACTTGTGTTGATTTGATTTCATATATTTTCTAATTTATCTTTGACAGCTTCACTGGTTCCACCAACTATTTCTCCTGCCGGCTCCAACATTACGTCGCAAGTACCCACTACAACAACAGGTATGCGACCATCGGGTATGACCACGGTCCCATCAAAGCCTACTACATCGGTACGGCCAACGAACCCAGCAGCTACTACTATTCCCAAATCTAGCACGACCGCTACAACCTCTAAAAAATCCACTACGACTACCTCCAAGGAAATCACGCCCAAACCTACATCAGACATTACACCGACGTGGTTATCGACCGCCAGTCAGGGTTCGACGTCACCTGCGACGAGTACGTTCCTGCCGACGCCTATGTCGTCAACGCCGGACGGTTCTGAGAAGAACCGGTCAACGTCTTACACGACGCAGGCGGCTACTAAACCCAGTATTGGCCTGGCCATTATATTACCTGTATTGCTACTGTTTGCGATCGTTCTAGCCGTATCGGTCTTCCTGTGCCGTCGTTACCGACAGCACCTGTTTCGCAAAAAGAGCTTTTCCCGACACCGTTTGCGAGAGGAGATCGTCGAACAGAGCCAGGACGGAAGCCTTCAGGTTAGCAACCAGTTATACGGTCTCGAGACGCACGATCTTCGCGGTCCCTTCTCTAAAGAATTCACCCCGTCTTCAGGCGGCAGCAGGCGAGGAGGCGGTCCATCCGGGGCCGAACAACTGGACCTCAAGAAAAACGGAAATGCTTACTATACGAAGCAAAAGGGTCACGAAGGATTCGACAACCCGCTGTATGGGGCTTTTGATTCCCAGGGTAGGATGACGTCGTTCGATCAGGAATTTCAGCCGAATCCCCCATTGATGGGCAGTGATTCGACCGATTTCTCCTTCCAAAGTGACAACAGTGGTCGAAGATTCAGAGACGACAATACAGACGAAAGCGTAGCATAAAAGAGAATGCTGAATAATAAAGAAAAACAAAGAGAGGAAGAAAACGTTAACAAAAAAGAAAGAAAAAAAGGTTAAGAAGGAAAAGGGAGGAAAAGAAAGAAAGAAAAAAGGTTAAGAAGGAAAAGGGAGGAAAAGAAAGAAAGAAAAAAATCCAAGAAAGAAAGAAAAGAAGGAAAGAGATTGACTAATTTCTAATCACAACGATGGTTACCAATTATGAGAAGCGAAAAAAGAAAAGCTTTTTTACCAAAAGGGCTATACGTCGACTTTTTAAAATACTTTTACTTTTTAAAAGTAACATCACTACTACTGCTACCAACACTGACGATGCTACAACTACTAATACTGCTACTACTACTAATGTGACTAATCCTATGACTACTACTGCTACTAGTGATAATCGTAACAACCACCGGAAGTGACATCATTTTGACTCTTAACCTGTTACATTTTTTGAATCAAACAATACGTAATGTTCGCGACGGTAAGCATAAAAGTAATGGAACGCGGGAAAGAAACGAATCATTATTTTTATTTTTATTTTTGTTTTAATATTTTTTTATTTTTTATTTTTTTATTTTTTGTTTGTTTGTTTGTTTTTTTAAGATTATGACACCTCCGAACAGAATCTACTGTTTAACGTTTTGAAACTGGGAGAAAAATTATAGGCCTACATTTTAAAAAGCCAATAATAGATTATTATTATTATTATTATTATTATTATTATTATTATTATTATTATTATTAAACACTGATCATATCGATTATCTTACACTGCTGAGATACGTTACATGAAATCCCGAGCTTTCTCGAATAATCTCGTGCAGTCTCGTTCAGAATTTGTAAAGCTTAATTCAATACCTCTTCAGATTATGATATTTTTCGGAACCGTACAGAAATCAGTAATAATTAAAAAAAAAAAAAAAAAAAAAAAACTTGGCAAAACAATTTTCTTTTTCTGTTTCATCACGAAAATGTTATGTTTCTTACGTAATAAAGAAAAACAATGCCTTTTAATATTTAAGGAACCAGACTGACGAAAAATCTACATTTAACAAGCTTTTAATCTTCAATGTTCTAGGACTTTAAAATCTCTATTTTCACTGAAATGATTAAAACAATACGGCTTCAATATATTTTTCAGATTTGTTCGATTACAAGCGATATAAAGAAAGAATATAATAAGGTATATTGATTGTAATATGCAGGATAACTCATTTTAATATCATCACTATTAACATTATTATTATTATTTTTATTATTATTATTATTATCTAATTTGCTGTTTGAAACACGCTTATACCTGAGATCTATGGCGAAGGATTTTTTTTTCTTAGAAAGTTACTGAGTGTATTAAATTGAGAGATATTTTCTGTTGATGTGAGTGTTGTCTATTGGCTTAATCATTATATCTCAGATAGTGAAGGGTTTCATGGAATTTTCTTAATAC